AAAGAGCTTTCATTTCAAAATGTTATTTTTGTTTGAAAAACCACCTCTTTTTTAAAGAAGAAAATTTAAAATAGTGTGGCATAACCTGAAGGCTAATTAAAAGGTTTGATTTGGACTGAACAAATGACATTCTCCTTTTGCTTTGCTTTTCCTGAGAAAGTAAAAACTTTTCCAGTCCAGATTGATCTGAACTGAAAAAATCATTATCTGTGCAGTTCTAACAGAATAAATTATGCCAACATAAGCACTTTTATGGTCATAGGAATAGCATTTAGCATACTCTTTTGAGGTCCCTAGCTTTCCTCCTACATTACCATCCAAATCAGGCTTAAGAATGCCACTAGATGGCAGGGCACCTTAGGCTGTACAATGCTAAGCCTAAATCCTCACTATGATAGCCAGGGTCCATATTCAGCTGTAAATTTTACTCCACCCTATAGCACTTCATGTATTGCCATAAATGCCATCAACACATCAGCTGGCATACTAGGCACTGCAATACCAAAAGACACCCTGAACCAGAAGACAGTTTTAGCTTTTCCTGAAGCTTTGGACATGGTGCATTATTGGAGAGTGGAAATATATCCTAGAGACTGGGGGAGAAAGTCAGTTACAGAGGCAAAATGACTTCTCTAGCTTGCCATAACCCATAGAAGAGTGATGAGGCATCAGGTACTTTAATCCCTAGATAGATTAATTTTCATCTGAGATTTTTCCAGATTCATTCACGCTGTGCGCTATCCAGCTCATCCGCCTCTCTAAGCGTTAGGGGGGGAAGGTTCTTCTATTTGTATAGGATAGCCCCTTCTTAAGGCAGTATTCAGTTTGATTATACACCCTGTCTACCTCACCCTTCTTTCATGCAATTGTTGGTGGGAGAATTGTGCCTAGAATACTAATTTAACAATAAATAGAAATACTGAATGTTAAATTATTTGCTCTTTAACAGATGACCTCATCATGAATTATTCAAATCCAACACCTTCTCTGAATATGTCTGATTATTATGATGACTATTATTATCCTCACAATGCCTCCACCTGCAGCATGGAGAAAATTAAGACAGTTACATCTGTAGTTTTCCCAAGCCTTTACATTACAGCCTATTATTTGTGTTGGGCTTGATGGGAAACAACTTGGTCATTTGGGTCCTAGTAGCTTGCAAGAAACTGACTGACATAACTGATATGTATTTGCTGAACCTCGCCATCTCTGACCTACTGTTTGTTTTCCCCCCGTCCTTTCTGGCACACTGTACTTCAGGGGAATGGATTTTTGGGAATACAATGTATAAACTAGTATGTGGTTGTTACTATATTGGTTACTATGGCAGCATATTCTTCATAACCCTTATGACCATTGACAGGTACTTAGCCATTGTCCATGTAGTACATGCTCCCCAAGTTCGAACAATCTCATGTGGCATACTTATAAGCCTGGCAATTTGGTCATTGGCCATTTTAATTTCCATGCCAAACCCTATATTCATGAAGGAGGTAACTGATAAAAATGCTACAAAGTGTATGCCTTATTACATTGATTATGATCAACCCTGGAAGCTTTTTACTAAGCTTGAAATCAGTATTATGGGCCTCTTGATCCCTCTTGGCATTCTCATTTTCTGCTACACCCACATCTTTAAAAACCCGAAGAAAAGCCAGATCCACAACAGGTGTAAACCAATTAAGCTGTTTTTTTCATTGCCATCATGTTTTTCCTATTCTGGATGCCCTACAATATTGTGCTTTTCCTGGACACTCTGCGAAGCCTGCACATTATCGATGACTGTGAGACAAGCAAAAAGATAGGTATGGCTCTAGAAGTGACTGAAGCTTTCTCCTTCATCCACTGCTGCCTGCGTGCACACTTCCTGGATGGGATGAGTGTGTTCTTCCATCCAGGAACAGCACACATACCAACTGCAGGTGCTTCCTCAGACTGACAAGTAGTGTTAAAACCGAAAGCTTGCTAACTAAAAATCTTTCCAAGTATTCAAGTTGGTCTAATAAAAGAGATCAGATTCACCCAAAGAACCTTGTCTGCCTTTTTTTAATGTTGCATTTGTAGACAGTATTCAAGTTGTTGGTTTTATTGTTAGCTATAATTATGATATATAGATAGCTATAATAATATATTTATATGTATTATATATAAATATATATTTATATACATCTCTCTTACTATAATTAATTAATTGAAATAAGTTCTCTATATAACTATAATAATTAGTTTAATTAATTATAATATATATAAATATATCCTTTAAGATTGCAGTAGTGTGTGTGTATATGTTGTATATGTATATGTGTATATATATATGTGTGTGTGTATATATATAATTATAGTTAACAATAAAACCAATAACTTGAATACAGTCTACAAATGCAACATTAAATAAAGACAGACAAAGCTCTTTGGGTGAATCTGATATCCTTTTTGCTTAATCATTTCTTTTCTGTATATAGTTATGTATAATAAAGAAACCTATTTGTTTGTTGGACTTAGAGTAAATTCTTGGGCGGTGAGGGTGAGGGATACCCATCTCCACAGGGCACCTCAGTCAGCAGACCAACCTGAGGGTGTTCCCAGGGCTACTGGCACCCTGAGGATCCAGGTTTTACTTCAGTGCTACTCCCCAACCCCCTGAGTGTGTCTATGTAGAATTGAACCTGTATAAACTGAGTGTAGAATTGAGCTGACTCAACAAGACCAAAAACTCCTGTCAAGACAAATAAGCATCAAATCCTGTTATACACTTGTATTTTCATCTGTGGGGAGAAGCTGCATAAAAAGCGTAGGCAGAGACAGTGCAGTACCTTCCTGCCAGAGAACTGGGCAAAAGTCAGTGGAACAAATAAAAGACAACTCGGGAATATGTTTGACAGGTTCTTTTCTTCTGGCTTGATGAGACTACTTTCTCTGCCTCACCTGAGATGACTCTAACCACTTGATTTTTAGAGGACTATTAAACGGACACTGAAGTAGAACCTACATGTTCCAGTGCCCTCTTTGTGGTATGTTCTTTTCATAGGGAAGAATGAAATAGCCACGGGTAATGTGACTGAGCACAAGTGAGCCCTGACCAGACCTATCATTCTTTAGCTGCCAATGGCTCCCATAGTCAAATAAACCCAGCTCACTCGTGAGCAGGGATCCAAGTTTTCTGTTCAATTTGGGAAAATGTGAATGTTGCAGGGCACTACGGTGCCTGCTCCACTTAGAGCAGAGATTGTCCGGGGAGAGAGCAGGGACAGGGGCATCCCCCCCACTGGGAATCTGGACAGACCCAGGGGAGGTGCAACCAGACCTAGGGTCAGTGAGGACCTAGTCAGGGAACTTCTGGAGGGACTAGATGTGTTCATATCAGCTGGTCCTGACAATCTCCACCTCAGAGTGCTGAGGGAATTACCTGAGGTCATTGCAAGACCCCTGGCACAGCTTTACGAGCACTTGTGGTGCTCTGGTGAGGTGCCAGAGGACTGGAAAAGGGCCTTTTGAAAGTGGTCCCCATTTTCAAAAAAGGGAGGAAAGAGGACCCAGGAAACTATAGGCCCATTAGTCTTACCTCGGTCCTGGGGAAGCTCTTTGAGAAAATTATCCAGGAGCACATCTGCAAGGGGCCAGCGGGGGAGATTATGCTTAGGGGGAACCACCACGGGTTCATTAGAGGCAGGTCCTGTCAGACCAACCTGGTGGCCTTCTACGACCAGGTCACAAAAGCCTTGGATGCATCTGTCACAGTGGACATAGTCTTTTTTGGACTTTAGGAAGGCCTTTGACACTGTCTCTTACCCCGTTCTCATTAAAAAATTAGGCAACTGTGTTGTCGATACCTACACAGTCAGGTGGGTCACAAATTGGCTGGAGGGCTGCACCCAGAGAGTGGTGGTGGATGGGTCATTTTTGACCTGGAGGGATGTGGGCAGTGGGGTGCCCAGGGCTTGGTCCTAAGGCCTACACTTTTCAACATCTTCATCAGTGATTTGGACGAGGGGGTGAAAAGCACCTTCTTCAAGTTCACAGATGACACTAAGATGTGGGGAGAAGTGAGCACGCTAGAAGGGAGGGACAGGCTACAACTAGATCTGGACAGGTTACAGAGGTGGGCAGATGAGAATAGGATGGGTTTCAATATGGACAAGTGCAAGGTGTTGCACCTGGGGAGGAAGAACCAGCAGCATACCTACAGGCTGGGGAACTCCCTTCTCGTCAGCACAGAGGCAGAAAAGGATCTTGGTGTCACTATTGATTCCACGATGAACACGGGCCGCCAACATGGGGATGTGGTCAGGAAGGTTAACCATACCTTGTCATGCATCCATAGGTGCATCACGAGCAGATCCAAGGAGGTGATCCTCCCCCTCTATGCGACACTGGTCAGGCCGCAGCTGGAGTACTGCATCCAGTTCTGGGCTGCTAGAGGCCGGAGAACCTGAGCAGGTCCCCCAGTGGCTGCAGCAGTGGCAGCAGCAGCCCCACCCAGAAGCTGTGTCAGAGCTGGGGCCTTCCCACACACTAGGATGGAAACAAAATATGCAGGCTGGGTGGGGTACAATTTATTGGTGGGCACCTGTGGGTTGGAGGAAATTGCTTGTGGGGCAGAATCTGGACTATGGGCCATATTTTGCCTACCCCTAAGATAGTCCAAACAAACTCAAAGGCATATTCTCCTCCTTATAGCATCCTAATTGAGGATTCATTTTACCTCAACTGCACAAGGGGGAGGGAGGGAGCAAGAGCAGCTCCACTCCACTGACAGACTGTGACAGAGATTGGTCATTTGATGAGCTTTAGTTAAAACATCCCTGCCACCATTTTGAAGTGTGGGGACACTGAACACTCAAGATGTTAAGGCTCCTGAAATGTGCTAATTATCAGGCGTCCCTCATGTCTACAGGCACCCGCTGATTAGTTAAGTACTTTGGAGATTTAAATAGTACTACAGAGAAAAAAGTGTTCTCTAGAGACCTGGAAAAAACAAGAGAGTTTCAGAAAACATGCAACTTTTTGTAGGGTTTAATTTTATTTCTAAACAGTATAAACGAAGTACAGTCAATACCCCAAAGTAGATTTTCCAAAATTCTTATAAAAATGTTTAAAAATGTGACTTTTATTAAAACAATCACATCAGACAGCTGCTAAAAGTCAATAAAACAAGCTGTTTAAAAGGAACATCTTAAAGAGTTTTGCGATAATTTGTGAGAAGGAAACTATTCAATAGGAAATGAATCTTCACTTATTAGCCAGTCTAGGTGTAAGGTACACAGCCTTGGTTAAAGTGGATTCCATGACTATTGTCACTTTCACAATGTGTTTGTCTATCTTGAAATCTCTCTGCATCAGCTTCTTATTTACCTGAAGAATAAAAACAGGTAAGCAACGAAGTTCACTTAATTCGAAATCTACACACAATACATGGTATATCCACAGACAGAATCTGGTATGTGGTACGCGGGCACGTCTACATAAGATTTTTACTGAGGATCTGACTAATTAGCTGTGCAGTAAAGTCTCAGTGTCTACATGTATGGCCATGTGAGGCCGCAGTAAACTAATAAACATAGCCCTAGGATAGTACTTGTCCACATAAGTACTGTCCTGTGGCAGCACTATTTAGCGCACCGCAATGCACATGTAGACGCTGACAGAGCTGGCTGAGGCATGAAGGTGCTTCAGTGTCAGGGGCTGCCTGCCAGCTAGCCCCCCACACTAAAGCACCCTTGTGCCCCAGCTAGCCCGTCTAAAGCATGCTGAGCTGCAATGGAGCACTCCAGGCCAGTAGGGTGACCCCCCAGCCTCCTGCTAGCTGGGGCTACTCCAACCCAGCTCAACATGCTGTAGTCCTGGGTACACATTCAGACATACCACCCAGAAGCAATAAACTCTGGTGCAAACTGTGCCGGAATTTATTATGTCACACTAATATCATGTAAAGACACACCCTGTATGTGTCTGTTTGAACCGAGCCTGTATAAACTAAGCGTAGAATTCAGTCAACACAACAAAACCAAAAACTCCTGTCAGGGCATACAAACAACAAGTCCTGTTATATATTTGCATTTCCATCTGGGAAGGGAAGCTGTGTAAGAAGTGTAGGCAGAGATAGTATGGTACCTTCCTGCTAGAAAACTGGGCAAAAGTCAGTGAAACCAATAAGAAACAGAGTGCCCCTCAGGGGAGAGGCACTCTGAAGTGCTTTGGGTTAGGCTGAAAGGCTGTCGAGGCGAAAGAGACTTAACGGTGGGAGTCTACTACAGACCTCCCAACAAGGGTGAGGAGCTTGACCAGGATTTCTTGGGTCAGCTCACAGAGGTAGTGAAGGCTAAGGATGTGGTAATCATGGGGGACCTGAACTTCCTGGACATCTGCTGGGAAGAGCAGTCAGCCAGGTCTGAACGCTCGCGTAGGTTTTTAGACAGTGTGCAGGACCTCCATCTAACCCAGGA